CAGATCTCCCAGGCCGGTGTGTTCGATTTTTTCGTCAACACACTGCCACGTAGACGACATGTCAGCGAAACCGCTCTCCAAAACCGCCGAGGGAGTCAAATTGCATTGGTTTTAATAGTTCGGGGAGTTATCCTATCCGGTTTTGGGGTTGAGGGTCACGGATTAGATTCGGGTCACTTTTAAGGGAGTCAAAGTGAACTTATTCCTACTGAAAGTAACATAGGACTTACCTAGCATGCATGAATAACTCAATCAGGGACAAGATGAATTGTTGGGCCTATGTATGCATATCAGTTGTTGCCTTGTTGGCCGTGTAAGGACATTTGCCAAATGGAGCTCAATCAAATAGTTTGCATTGAGCGTTCAGTTAAAAGCCTTGCAGTATTGGGCGTTCAGTTAAAAGACTGTAAAATGATCAAACTCTATTTCTGATATTTGAATGCAAAATAATTACACGGGCATAGGAACACACGTATTGTGCATGTCTGACCAGTATAGAAACATGAATGGTCCATGCTTTTTTAAAAAAATTTCTTGTTTTCTTTTTGAGATGGATCGATCGTGTGTATTAGTTACTTTCTTTCGATGTTCTATCTTTTCACCCAACACTGCAAAATCTGAGAACAACCTCACAGACATAATTTTCCATTGAAAATAACTTTCCATATATCATGCTAGCAGATGTATGGTTAGAAGTGAGTTATTGGGGTGAAACAAATTTAAATGGCCTTATCTGATTTTACCTATCAATTTTGTTATACCTCTAACCAGGAATAGATATGCGGCTGCAACATAATCGGTATCTTCTGCAGCAAAATCATTTAACATTAATTCTATCCCTAATGGATCATCCCATTTTAACCCTATAAAATATATTTAACATTGGATAAGATTTGGATATATTTAATACTTGATAAGATTTGGATGATGTTCCTGAGTTATCTGCAATCTTCATCCGTCCGTACTCATGTTTGTTCGACTGTTATTAATTTACCAATTATACTCATACGTATTTCATCCGATTTCATGTTTAAATTATAGTTATTTGTATAGGAACCTTTATATATAGAAGTATATTTGGATTTCATATATAACTCTTAGTTTTCATATTTGTAAGGTCCAAATTTTATATACAACTCTTAGATTTCATACACAACTAAAACTTCTATATTTATAGATATACTAGAAAAAATGCTCATGTGTTGCAACGGGTGAAAGTTATTTTAATCTTATTATTGTTATATGGTTTAGTTAAGATTAAATTCACTACGGGAATTCGCTTAAATATACATGTGTTTTTAGAAAATCATGGGCTGCAATTAGGAATCCAATCGTCTCAAGTTAGCATGCTAGTTTTTTAAAGAGATTTCTTGTACGACTCCCTCTGTAGTTCCAAAAGTGAACGAATTTAAAAATCGACTCAAATATGAATATGTATTTCCAAAAGTGAACGAAATTAAAAACTGACTTATATACGGATGACGTACTAAAGTACCGGCAAAAACATCTTCAATTTTTATAATAGTAATGAATTATACTTTACATACAACTATACCAATTAATCTATGCCATTATAATCCAATTATAATCCATGCCCAACATGATTTAATGGTAAATTTTTGTTTCCTTTTTCTCCTATTAATATGGGAATTTCTAATATACGATAAATGTGATGTCTCATTTCAAGGTTCTTAATAATATATAGATAGATTAGATAAAAGTGACTACTATTAACGACAAAGGTAAAATGTTTGATAATTAGTTCTATTCATGAGATATACCGGACGAAAAAAAATTGCTAATTAAAGACAAATCACCAGATCTTGTTAAACTTCCCTACTCGTTAATCTTGGTCTCCTGATTCTCGATCGTGATCTCGGTCTAGCATTGCGCATCACCAGCTTCGGCGACGACAATGCCCATATGGCAAGTGTGTGGGCGCCAAAATTTAGTTGGGCTGAGAAGTGCTGGTTGGTCTTGTAAATGCCTGTATGCATGATCACACAATTTTGTAGCCGAACGCATGATGCCATATGATCTACTCATGCATGCATGATCACCAGCATCCCATGGATGTGCTTGCTGCCTCTGCAAATTAAGCTCTCTGATCCCTCCTAACATCCCAATTTAGTTGGGCTGGAGAAGTGATCACGTAAGTGTTGAAGGCGGCTCGCCCTCCTAGCATCGAAGATTCGGAGCGCTGGTTGATTGGGCTTGATATCCAGTCCAACGCATGTTAATTTCTCTCTTAAACAAGCAGCGAGCTTTCTCCAACCTCTCTATATATATTATCTTTGACTTAGCTAGCATATTATATGTCTCCATATAAATATATAAATATGTAAGTATATAATCTAGAGGCAGACAGCTTTACATGACATAAAAATAGTGTAAATTGGTTTCAGATAAACATGTGCCTGAGTCAACATTGATCTGCACGAGTTTTGAGGTGAAATATTACCCATGCCTGGATTTTTTAGTTGATCATATAGTTGGTATTGGTTATTGTTACATATAAATCCACAAGCATAAAGATACCTCACCTTACACTATTTTAAGGGTATCGAATTACAAGAACGTGTGTATCTAGAAACAATAGATGGTAGGCTGGAAATAATTTTATTTCATTCATATAAATAAAATTATTTTATCCTTGCAAAAAATATATTAATTTTATTTGATTCATACTACTTCCTAAAAGAATATTGTTGGTTAAAAATACATATAAAATAAATTAATATATTAAATATTAAGATATATTTTATATGTATTTTTAATCAACAATATTCTTTTAGAAAATATGAATCAAATAAAATTATTTTATACTCACAAATTTTTGAAATAAATTTACCTATAACCTTCAGTAAAGTTTAATAAAAATGTACTAAACAAATACTCCCTCCATCCTATTTTCAGAGCAACCATTAATCGTCCATCTTATTCGATAATTTTTTTTAAAAAAAAATTAAAAATATAAGTCACGCAGAAAGTATTATTCATGTTTTATTATCTAATCTATACCTACTTAAAAAATATGTAAGGCTTCCGGTATGGGTTTTTCGTCCGTCGTCGGATTCACTAATCCGATTCATATCGACGTTCTCTGCGCGAAGGATAAAAAGGGATTTATATTGATATTGTCCGTGCGAAGGATAGAAACGACTCAAAATCCGCGGGATTTCGTTGGGCTTAACCAAAATTGGTTGAGCGAAAACGGAGAGGAGATTGAGGGGATTCCATTTTCGCATCCAATTTGGAAGGAGAAGCAGTGGAGAAATTATATTTGAGAAGGGCATCGACTTCGACCCTGTGCGGCAACGGGATTTCTATCCCATCTAGAGGAAGACGATGACGCTGCCAGCGGGCCCGACGCGCCAGTTAGAGAAAGGGAGAAAGGCAACCTGAGCTAGCTTGATGGGCCAGACATATGTTGGGCCGAGGAGGAGAAAGAAGAGTGGCCCAGGAGAGGAGAAGTGGGCTGGCATGTGAAAAAAAAAAGAAAGATGGACCAGAAATGTCCCAAATCTTCATAAGTATATGGGAGTACCTATATATCTTTCGAAAGATTTTTATGATCGTATCACACAGATTTTTAATCTTTGGATTAAAATCCGATAGATATAATAAAAGGAAAAAAGCAATTAAGAAACACCATAATGGACACTAAATTACCATATCCTCAAGAAAAAGACCAAATCCAATACAAAATTTAAAATTTACATGTGAAGATTAAAAAATTACAGTGTAACTTACAAAAGTTATAGTGTAAGTTTCATAAATTACACTGTAGATTACAAGAAAATGCACTATAAATTTAAGTGAGAAAATCGAGTGAGAGATAAGAAAAAATCTTTCGAGTGAGATATAGCAAAATCGTAAGTATATTTATTATCCCTCCTCTCTTGCCCTTGATCAAATCGCATCCCTTAACCGCACAACCGAATATAACATCTCCCCCAATTTCAACAATCAATTCAAATGGACTCCTTCAGTGTTTGAAAACAATATTTTTTTTGATGTGGCGGTTCAACTTGCTCCAGGTATGCTAAAGTGGTAGCCCAATCATCAAAACAATTCTATACCTAATTAAAAAATACGCAAGGCTTCCGGTTAATCTTTTGCTCCGTCTCTCTTTTTATTTTATGATTCATTTTTATTTTCTGTTTTTCGCTACTTTTTTTATCCGATTTCCTTTTTCCCCCCTTTTTTTATTTGGTTTGTTTTTTCGCTGGTTTTTCCCCCCTTTTTTTATTTGGTTTGTTTTTCGCTGGTTTTTTATCTCATCGTCGCCGGACCAAACCCGGTTTTTCCATCCGGTTTTTATCTCATCATCGCCGGACCAAACCCTAGTGCTGCCTGCACTTCGATCGGTCTCCCCATGTATTTTCTCCTTCAATTGATAAATTTTGCGAATTCGATCAGAGAAAAAAATGGAAAGAAGGGATCTTGTGGGGAGGATCAGCTCTGGTATACAGGCACGGGACTAGGTAGAGGTTGAAGACGACGGAGGGCCGTGCGAGCATAGGAAAACCAAGAAAGAAAGAATGGGCTTTAGGCCTAAAACCAAAGAATAATTTTTATTAACTTTTTTAATCATAATACATAGCGACCATAATGTTTCAATTCATTGCTCAGTTTAAAAAAAGTTGTTATCCGGTGCAACGTATGGGCATTTTTTCTAGTAACAATAAAAATACTAATCATAAAAAGATTAAAAAAGATGAACGATCAAAGTTGGATAAGAAAACTCATGGCTACGCTTAAAATTGGATGTAGGGAGTAATACAAATATCAAATATTGATAACATTATAATACGGTGAGCAGTACGGATAAAGATTCGAATTATTAAACATTCGTTCATTAAACTTGAGCAAACTGACGACGAATACATGCGTTTTTTTTTTCGCGAACGCGCAAAAGGATTGCACGTCACTGTATTAGAAGAAAAGAGTTATGTTACACACAATGCAATTAGCCAGAATGACGAATACATGCGCGATTGACGAAATAAATTTGACTTGATTGATTGATCACAAAGACACGAGCACACTTGCGTAAGGAAAAGCGCACAAGCAGACTGGCACTCGTCCCATGGGGGACGAGGTGGTCGTCTATCTTATTATTTTTCTTGACTCTTTTCTCCCCATAACAATACTGAAATCAAAGTGGAGGAATTGATAAACCTCGCCGTCGCCGGCTTATTCAATCGATCGTCCACCGTTACGCCATAGCTTGCACGGTGGCTCGATCATTCACTCGCTGTGTTTTTCAACAGCACGCGTCGCCGGCAGCGCTTCATCATCATGTGCAGGCAGCTCCGACGAGCCGTATCCATGCAGCTGCTGCTTCCCGGCGCCGGAGTAGCATCGCCTCAGGTTGCTCGCATGCACGACGGCCTGCACGTATATAATAAAATGAGTTCAAATATTCCACGGTGTTATTTATTTTGGGATGAGGAGAGTAACTCGCTACTTACTACTTCCGTCTCAGGATATCTACTACTACTTAAAAAGTAAAACCTGCTTCCGTCGTCCGTGAAAAATAAAACGCTGAGAAAAAAACGAAAAAAAAGGTCCGATTCCCATTAAAAACAAAACTTCCGACTCACTTGGAAATTCCGTTGAAAAAAAGGAAAGAAAAATTACTGTATGAAAAAAAATCAAGCGCGAGAAAAGGGCAAAAATTTTGTTCTGCCCGATCCCAAAAAAGGTGCGACAAAAGAGTTTCCGTCTTCCGTAAAATAAGGAAAATCTATATCTATATCTATACCTATTATAAAAATACGTAAGGTTTTTGTATTTTTTTTCGTCCGTCACTTTTTTTTTTGTTATTTTCGCCTTTTTTTTTCCGTTTTTACCGTTCCTCCATTTTTTTTTGCCTTCGCTTCTTTTTTCCTTTTTTTCACCCGCCGTTTTTTCCTCCTTTTCCTGTTCTCTTTTTTTTTTCCTTTTTCTCCGCATTCCTTCCTTCAATTGGTCGTAAAAATCGATTCCCCACTACTCCCTTATTATTTTCCCCATAATTTTTCCTTTCAATTCCGCTTTAGTTTATCGGATCTAATCTCTATTTAAAAGTCAGCGTTTATATCTTGAGTTTTATAGATTCGCTTAGATTTTGATAAAAACAAAAGAGTAGATCAAGTGCATCAGAAACCCTTAACCAATTAGGGGAGATCGATAAAGATTCGATACGATTTAATGGGAGATCGAGAAAGGTTCGATACGATTTGATGGGGAGGATGGCCTATAGCTTCACTTCTGGGCTAGGTCAAAGCTAGGTCAAAGAGACTCAGGCCAAGTAGAGAGAGGTAGCGGGCTGGGCTGGAACATAAATGGAACGAAGAAATAATCTTTTGGCCCAAAAAGAGTAAATGTATACGATCAAAAATAATTTTACCCGTTGCAACGCACGGGCATTTTTTCTATAGAAACATATATATAACTAGATGAAACATTTCCAAATACTACAAATTTAGATAGGCCATCTATCTGTCTAGATTATAGGGAATGCCATATTCGGTTATAGGTTCTTATATTTTGAGATGATGGAGTACATATTCTAGGAAATGTCTTGTTCAGTCATAGGTTTATATATTTTGAGACGGAGGAGTATAGATTCTAGGAAATGTCCTTGTTCGGTCATATGTTCATATATTTTGAGACGGAGGAGTAGCTAGTAAGGTGGGTACGTGTAATCGTACGTACCAGGTACATGTCGTGGTGCATGGCACGGTTGATGGCATCGAGCGACGCCTCGCGGAAAACGGCGGTGAGGTGGTGCGACTCGGCGTCCTCGGACGGCTGGAACATGAGCGGCGCCTCGCGCTTGAGGTTGGACCAGAGCTCCAGCCGGCGGTCGATCCTGTCCTGAAGGCCCACGACGCAGCCGCAGTCCGCCGTCGCGTCGATCTCGGTCGTCTCTACCCCGGGCTGGATGCCGCACGCGTCGAACTCCGCGTCGACGGCCACCTGCTTCATGTACTGCTGGTGGAACCATCCGCTGACGCCGGCCGGCGGCGACGACGCCATGGTGGTGGCCTGCTGCGTCTGGTGGCTCGCCAGCCACGAGTAGAGGTACAGCACGCCGTCGTGCTCCTCCTTGGTCAGGCTCCTGCGCATATCCTCGACGTGATGCTTGGGAAGCTTCTCCTTGAGGCGCTCCGCTGCGTCCTTCCCGGCTGGGGTCTCCTTGATGAACTTGTCCCATTCCTCCATGAGATCCTTGGCCATCTGCTTCTGGTCCGGCTCCTCGTCGTGCTCGTGCTTCTTCAACACCTCCTTCACGATGCTGACCACCTTGACCCTCACCATCTCCACCATGACCGCCTCCGACCACGTCACGAGATGATCGCCGGTTTTCGTTGCGCCGCCCGCAGGCGCAGGCCTCTCGACTTGTACGCTGGACTCCTCCATATTCTCCACCTTCCGTCCGCCAGCCGGTGTGCTATACTCACCGGCCACCGTTAGCAGCAGCTGCGGCGGCTTCGCCTGAGCGTTCTCCAGCTTTGGCACATCGAGGTAGACGATGAACTTCTTGTCCTCCTCAGCGGACAAGACGCCGACGTTGATGGTGCCCTTGGACGACGCCTTCCCGTTCCCGCTCTCGATCGTCTTGTCGTAGGCTCCGGAGTCGATCTTGTTGATGAGCACGCCGGAGTTGTCGGCGACGTGCAGTTGGACGCGCGCGTTGACGGCGACGGCGGACGTGATTCCGCTGAGGAAGACGGCAAGCGCTTGCGCGACGTTGGAGAGTTTGTCGTCGATGGGGTGGTAGCTCCCTTTGGTGGCGGTGGCAATGTGCACCATCGACTTGGGGTTGCACCGGCTCTGGCACATGCCGAAAGTGTGTGCTGGGTACCGGACGCCGCCCAGCTTGTCGTCAAGGACGCCGTTGTCCTGGCCGTCGGAGAGCAGGAAGATGAAGCCTGGCCGGTACTGCTTGTCGCCGGCGGGACGGCTGTCCAGGAGGCCCGAGGCATGCTTCAGGGCTGGCAGGAACTTGGTGTCGCCACCGGCCTTGAGCTGGTTCACCTTCGCATTGGCATCCGCGCGGCCTTTCGTGGTCATCTCCATCAGCCGCGTCGCGCCGGCGGCGACGACCTTGCCGTTGAACGGCACGATGGCGAGGCGGTCACCGGCGCCGAGCTTGTTGGTGACCATCTTCATGGCGCCCTTAACCAGGTCCAGCCTCGTCCACCCGTGCATCGACGTCGCCTTCGTCATGCTGCCGCTCACGTCCAGCACCGCCACCAGGTCGATGGGGAAACGCTCCGTTTTCGCCGGCGCCACCACGTGCACCAGGACAGGCCATTCCTTGCGCTCTTCGTTACTCGGGATCGCCTTCTCCTTTGGTTCGCTGCGCAGCGTCACCTTCCCAGCAGCCTATATATACATCACAACGGTAGGGTGCTGATTTATTTAAGCCTTTCTTGAACATCTATTATATTATTAAACAGTTAATAATGTTCATTTGAATACGTATTCATATGTAAAACGAAACATACTTCCTTCTTTTCCTAATTATAATATGTATATATGTAAGCAATGTATGGCATTTCAGAAAGAAGAGACAGTAAACAAGCATATTTTTTAAGCGGGAAACATATGCATGCATCAATTTGACCGTTAATAAATCCAAATGCATTTAAGTTGTTTCACGGAAAAGAAATTAAATTTCTCATATGTAGTGTCTTCATTTTTTTTTCAAAAAGAATATAAATTTAGAGCAATTTTACAGTCATTGAGGAGATAACATGAGATACCAAAAATTTAGTGTAAAATTTTGTACCTCCTAATACCTACTCCCTCCGTCTAAAAAAACCCAATATAATCCTACAAATGAAGACACTGTCCAGATTCAAACTTAGGATTGGATTTTTTTTGGGACGGAGGGAGCAGGTATTAAGAAGTATCAAATTTATATTAGAAAAAGTGATATACCTCATCAAGGACTATAAATTTGCTCCAAATTTAAGTGTCTTTATAGTAGGCAGTAACCAATAATTTCATAGACATATATTAATTTACACAGAATCTGAAGGTGGGATAGGTCTCACTGGTCACTTTGGGCCATGTCCTAAGGCCTGAATGTGAAAGCCCATCATCTCAAGTTTAACTATAGTATCCCCGCAAAAAAAAATGTTTATCCATAGTAGCTAATCTACCCTAGTATAGTAGGGGTAGTACTGCAGTATATATAGGCCGTGTTTATGTCACACCCCAATCTGATACCGCTGTACAACGGCACCTGACAGGAGTGTGTCGTAGGGAAAACGGCGCGAACCGCTTCCTACGAAACCGCGATCTCGGTACCAGTCCTAGGACATAGTGCTGGTACCCACGGAGACAAATATGAATCATAGCAATCCTTAAAATAAATAGGGGACTTATTTACCTTAACTTAGGTTGCAGCTCAGACAGCCCGAGAATACAACCGACGACACGGACGAGGCGAACATCAACAACAACAGCAGTAGCGAAACCAACGGTCTAACACCCAACACCACAGGCGACGGCTGGGAAATAGGACGAAACCCTAATCTTCACTTCACTTTATCTTCTCTTCAGGGCGGAGGAACTATATATATATATATTTATATAGAGCAAGGGTGAGTACTTTCGTACTCAGCAAGTCACGGGAACTTAGGTGTTTAATCCAAGCTTGGAAGAGAGGCAAGGTTGTTTTGCAAATCTTTTGTTTGAAGACATTTTGAAATCACTAAGTGATTTATTTCTTTTAAGTTTGGGTCGAAAAGAGACTTGCGTCTCAAATCGACTTAAGAGATGCTTTTCAACAGCTCAATTGGAAATGTACCGACCTCCTGGGTCAGATCATTACTTCTCGGCTCCCAGAGCCATTCCACTTGATTAATCGGCTCCCAGAGCCTTTTTCATTTTCTCGGACTCCTAGAGTCCTGCTGCCCAGCAGCAAAGCAATCCGCTTCCACTCGGGAAGCCTAGTCTATGATGCCCACAGACATCCCGAATCACACAGATTCGTTTCTGACCACTCAGGTCATCCATCTGCCACATAGGCTGATTCTGGTTACGATTCCCACACCAAAACAACTTTTCACAAAGCACAGGCAAACAAATCTACGCAACGGGAACCACCTCACATCCGCCCATGACCGTGGGCACGGCTGTTCGAACAGTTAGTTAACCTCTGCAGAGGGGTACACTTTACCCACAAGACACGAACTTACTCCAGACACTGGCCGGTGTCAGAGGTTCGCGACAAAACCTTTCCCAAGCCGACCCAGGGATACCTCATGCCACATAGAAGGATCAAATCCTCACAGAAACATAGGCCATTTTAGGCGTTCACAAATCAAACTCCAACCACCTCGATCGGTAATTCAGCAAGCTTCTCGTTCTTGCATTACCAGGAACCCGGTTTGGCTCCAACCGACCCCGCCCCGGCGTTCCCAATATTGGCATGCGTGGTTTCCCTGAACCGACTAGTTACTTAGACAGGGTGTCCCATTCCACCTTGTGGTTGCACTTTGATTATGTTCGATGAGTTTCCCACAGGAATCGGTCCTTACATGCGAATACGGGACAGTGCCACATAGGCGCAACCCCCGCATCGCGAGTTTTCACAATTCATTTTATTTTCCAACACACCGACACCACATGTCGGGTTTTGAGGGCTTCACAAACCCATTTCCCAAGTTTTCGACAAACAACGGTGTATGTGGGATATTTGGTATACGCGCTCAGAGAGCACGAATACCGAGGTACCACAAGGGTGGAGCGACAAGGAATCAGGGTAGTACGACCTACGGAAATTAGTGCGACTACTGGGTAGGTCCGTCGGTTTGGCACGCAAACCGAGGCCAAGCAAGTTAAGTGTGTGATTCTAATAATGCAAGTTTCAAACAAAATAATAATGACTTTTCAATTATAGGGGCAATTGATCAAAGGGTGACTTGCCTTGCTCAAGGTCTTCACGAAGCTTCACGAACCTTCAAGAAAACCCGCGATCGACGAAAATCCGGTAACCGCAACTATACGCAAACAATCAAAAACCTAAACAAAAGACCAAAAGAAGGATCCTATTTAGACTAATTAGTAGTGCCATTATATAGATCTCAATTTTACGGAATTACTGGAAGTGGAACGGGGTCAATCGGACGAGCGGTTGAGGAGATATGGATTTCCTAAGATTATTTGGATTTTCTGTCTAAAGGAAAAGGATTTATTAAATCCTTTGGAAAAAGGAAATGGACGAGGGATGTGAATCAGACTTGTCTCGGGTGGCATTGGCGCGGCCCGAGGGACTTGCGCAGCTCGGGCGAGCCTAATGGGCCGGCACGGCCGCGAGGAGGGCGGCCCAATGGGGCGTGGGAGGGGGAGGAGACCAACCGGGTGGACCGCTGTCCACCATGCGGGGTCCCGGGACGGGCCCACCTGTCGGCGGCTGGGTTCATGGAGGAATGGGTTCACGCGGGGGCGGCGCTAGGGTTTGGTGAAGATGGCGCACGGGCGGTGCGCCGGATGGACCGAGAGGCGGCGGGCCTACGCGCAGCCATAGGGCTCTCCGTGGACCGCGCGCACCGGTCGAGGGAGGGGGAGGCGGCAGGCTGGTCGTGCTGACCCGGTCGCGGCCGATGTGGCTCCGACGTGGCGCCTACGTGGCAGCCACGCGGGCCGGCGGGAGGAGGAAGAAGGGGAGGCCGAGATGGACGGCGGACGGCGGCCGAGTTCACCGGAGCTTGTCGCGACGATTCGAGAGGGAGGGAGCACACCGCAATAATGAGACGGAGGAGATAAAGTGTGCCACCGGCTCGGATTCACGGAAGGGAGACCGGCGACGACGAATCGCGGCGGCCCTCGCCGGCGGTGAGAAAAAGGGCAAACGGTGGAGGGGCGACGAGGATTCAATTCGAGGCGGTGGAAGCATCTCCGGGGTTCAAGGAGTCCACTTCCGGCGTCGGATGGGGCGGAAGAGCACCAAGGAGGGCTGGCGACGAGCGGCGGCTTCCGGGAGCGGGCGGCAACGGCGGCGAGGCCAGGCCGGGCGGCGGCGGGTCTAGGGGCGGCGTCTACGCGTGTTCGGGAGTGCCACCGAGCTATCACGCAGACTAGAGGGGGCGAGGGAGAGCGAGGAAGGGAAACGGGAGGAGGCACTACCGAACCGGGCGGGCAGTGATGGGCGGTCGACGGCGCGGGGCGAGTTCTCCGGCCTTGGGCCAGGGAAGGGGAAGAAGAAGGGTGGCCGGAGTCCTCTTCGGCTCCTCGCGCACACGCCGGCTTCACCAGCACGCGCGACGGCGAAGGGAGGGTCGGCAGCTGCAAGGCGGCAACAAAGGCGCGGTGGCGGTGGAAGAGAGATGCCGAGAGAGAATGAGATAGGGAGGCTCGGCCTGGGCTTTATAGATGGAGAAGAGGCGGTTTGGGAGGGGGAACCGACATAGGCGGTCAAGGGTGCAAGGACGACGAGCTGGCGTGGTCAAGGTGGTGGCAGGCGGTGACGCCGATGGTGGTCGGGCAAAAGGAAAAAGGTGGAGAAGAAAGGGAGCTCTGCTCCTTGCTGTTTCAGGATAAAGGAAAGGGAGAGGGAGCGAGACTGGGGCTCTGCCTCCCTCCCTTGGACGCATGCGCACAGGCGGGGCTAGGCGACGCGTGGTCACGGGCGGCGTCAGGGCTGACGCGGCGGCGACCGAGCGGCTGGCCTCGAGCGAGCGCGCGTGCGCGGGAACGAGCGGCACGGCCGAAAATCGAATGGCGGCAGCGGGAAAAATCGGCGATGGCGGCAGCGCTGGCGTTGGCGGCGACCGGCCGGTCGGCCACCTCGCTAGGCGCGCGTGGGAATGGGCGAAGGCGGTGGAGGTTTTGGGCGGCGACGGCGGGAAGCGGTGTCGGCGCGAGAGAGAACAGAGAGGGAGCGAGAAAACGAGAGAGAAAGAAGAGAGGCGATGCCTCTCTCTCGGCGCATGCAGCGCACGTGCGGGGAGGAGGAGGAGCAGCCGAGAGGGGAGAATGGGCCGAGCAAGGGAGAAACGGCCCACAGCCAAGAGGGACGCTATTTAGACTTTTTCTGAGAGAACTGATTTGGATAGGATTGGAGAGATTTAGGGTTTGGATTCGAGTTCAAATTTGATATTCGAACTCGAGGGTTTAGGGATGTATCAAGGGGAATTCAAGGAGAAGTCATGGAAAAGATTCAAAAGGAATACTTGGGTATTTGTTCTCGGGAACATAGGGTGGAGTCAAGGAAAGGATTCGAGGCGGGATTTGAATAATTCTGGATTCGTAGAAGTATTTGGCGAGGATTCAAAGGAAGGATTTGAATTTCAGAATTTGATTTCAGAGACTCGAATCAGAAGAGGAATTTTCGAGGTGGAGGATTTTGATTGCGATGAGGGGGAACAACGGGATTAAATTGAAATCCTTGGCACAACTTAGACTCTCACAAAAGAACGAAAATTTTCGCAATTAGGATTTTGCCGAGTTAGTTTTTAACGACTCACGAAAAGCGGAGCGTTACAGTTTAGTTCCTCCTCCAAATTATTTTTAAGTATATGAACACACATTTAAAGTATTAAACGTAGACTAATAACAAAACAAATTATAGATTCCACCTGTAAACTACGAGACGGATTTATTAAGCCTAATTAATCCATCATTAGCAAATGTTTACTCTATCACCACATTGTCAAATCATGGCGTAATTAGGCTCAAAAGATCCGTCTCACAATTTACATGCAAACTGTACAATTGATTTTTTTCATCTACATTTAATGCTCCATGCATGTGTCCAAACATTTGATGTGATGGAATTTTTGGAAGTTTGAAGGGACTAAACACAACCACACAACCATAGGTTGGTCGGCTGGTCCAGAAGGAGTTGAGCCAATCCGACGTCCGCCCTTGATCAGACAAACTAGTATATTAAGTTGCGCATTTGCACAACTCTCTTTCTTTTAAATGTGTCTATAGATTCTGGCAGTAATAATAAGCTTAAATTTATAATGATGATTAATCATAACATCTTTAGATGGGTGCATAGTTGATAGTTACATTAGTATATCACACACATATGCTCATCACTAATATACGTAACTTCAAATGATATAAATTTATGTAATTATTAATTCTTTTTCTATCATTTGATACATGTTTAAAAGAGTCAACGGCGTCAAATATTTTGGGATGGAGGGAGTATATGTCAGTGAATATAGAGGAGGGAAGGTGAAACCAAAACGTTAGACCAGAATGTATAGAACAGAGAGAGTAACAAAATCACTCGATCACCCATATATTATGATAGGATAAGAGAGTATCACCTGCGTCGGCGCCATTATGTATATAGCAGGAACAAGGGAGATTACCAAGTTCTCACTAGCTTTCTGCAGTAGGTGTGTAGGATGAATGTGATGCTCATAGCTCGTATATGACTCATCCCTTTATATAGACTAGCTTAGGAACTTGTCGCATGGATCTAGAGGCTCGTGATACCGAGAAATTACATAATGATTGGCCCATAGGTGCCGAATTGCTAATTGTTTTGGTTCAGTTTCCTCTACCAGGCTATCAGCAGCCTTAATTAATTAAGCAGCATAAATAAAGACATGTCATTAGGCACGTCTTAGTTTAGAGCGCTCCCAAAAGATTCCTAGCTAGTCTTGTTTGTACAGGCTACAAATCATCACTATTTCTCTGTTAGGAAGAGGAGATAGAGAGACGACTCTTTTGGATAGAGACGAAAGAAATCATGTTTTTTCAGCACAAAGTACTCCCTCCGTTTCTAAATATTTGACGCCGTTAACTTTTTTAAATATGTTTAACCGTTCATCGTATTCAAAAAATTTAATTAATTATTAATTCTTTTCCTATCATTTGATTCATTGTTAAATATACTTATATGTGTACATATAGTTTTACATATTTCACAAAAGTTTTTGAATAAGACGAACGGTCAAATATATGCTAAAAAGTCGGTGTCAAATATTTAGAAACGGAGTGAGAAATATTATTACTAAAAGGTTACCCTACGCCTTCTCGCGGATTTTTCAGAAATAGGTAGTATATATATTATCAAGGAAGAGAAATTAGGTCCATCATATACAAACTATTGATAAAGACACATGCTCCCTCCTCCCCTAATATATAAAGGATTTAAGATGAATTGGAGTATGGAATATATTATACTATAAATTTGGACAAACTATCTATTCAGATTTGTACGAGGATATGTCTCATGCCCGACGATGTGCGACATGGGATACCTGGTTCGCATACTATATTCTTTCGGAGAGGTGCCAGGGCTCCGAACCAACGTGCCAAAAAGACAAATTGTGCCCATCCGTTGCAATGGGAGAGACCTCCAGGGCATCCTACAGGCCTTCCATGCAAACATCACTAGCTTCCCAATGAAGTAACATAGCCTACTGCTTGCGATCGATCTCCAAGCTTAAAATGGTCCATGTTCAACCACTCCTTGGTAAATGTCGCACGCGGCTAGCTCCTTGGCAAGGCAAACTGATGTCGGCGGCAGGCAGAACGACCCTGACCAAGTTAGTCCTTACGGTGCAATCCATCTACCTCTTGAGGAGGTACCACTTTTTCTATTGTAAATTTGGTACCTCTTGGTACCTAGGTACTATAAGGTATCATGAGGTACCAAATTTTATACTGAATTTTTGGTACCTCATAGTACCTCCTCAAGGACCGTAGATTTGCTCCTTCACGGCAATAAAGAACTCGGACGGGGTCCTGCACTCCCTCGAAAGACGAGACGCAAATTCCTTTGGGTAGGAGGTGAGGAAATTTCAGGGGGAAAAAAATGCAGAGTTAGCTGGGACAAGGTCTGTAGACCCAAAGATTTGGGTGGACTAGGGGTGTTTGATCTCGATCGTTTCGCTAGGGCTCTGAGAATTATATGGCTGTGGTACGAGTGGACCGATCCAGACAACCATGGAGTGGCACCACGGTCCCCTGTGACCAAGAGGATAGAGATCTCTTTGCAGCAGCAACGACCATCACTTTGGGGGACGGTAATATGGCGAGATTTCGGCACTCACATTGGTTGGAAGATAAGACCCGAAACAAATTGGCGCCGGCCATCTTCGCAGCCTCCAAGCGCAAGAATATATCAGTGCACAACAGTCCATCTATGCCAATTTGTCTAACTGTGGACAATGATCCAGTGCATGGCTCCTCTCAACGCGCAACGGGATACCATCACTTGGAAGTTTATGGCTAATGGAGTCTACTCAAGTAATTTGGCTTATAGAATGCAATTCATGGGGGCAGCATGAACAATCTTCAACCAATCAATAAGGAAATGTTGGGAGCCGCCAAAGTGCAAAGTCTTCTCATGGCTCGTAATCAAAAATAGAGTTTCGACGGTAGACAGGCTGTAGAAGAGGGGATGGACGAACCACCACTTTTTCCCACTCTGCTGTGCCTCGCTAGAATCGGCTCTTTATCTTCTCGCCAACCGTAGGATTTCAAAGAGAATCTGGAGCACACTACAGAGTTGGACAAAAATCGATCTCCGCATAAACAAATGGAAAGCCTACGCCAATGAAGAAGATTGGTGGTACAAAGTTTCAAACACGCCATACGTCATGCGGAAAGCGTTAAAGTTGGTGATCATCCTCGTGACTTGGGAGCTCTGGTGCGAGCGTAATGCCAGAATTTTTCGGCGCCTAGCCACAACGCCAGCCATGATCGTGGCCAAAATCAAGGAGGAGGCGAGAACCTGGATCATGACGAGAGCTGTTAGGCTTACAGAGACCATTCCCTGTGGAGAGTAGTGTCCTACCTCGATTTCGCCCTATAAATATTACTCCATCCATTCTTTTTCGTTTGACGTTTAATTTGTTAGCTCAAAATTGTACTAGCCAACGTCAAACATTTGTACAAGGAGGTAGTACTTAGCTTGTTATGACTTTACTCTTATCTATCAATATAAAATGACAAAGCTTTTGCCTCTTAAAAGAAAATGTCACCCTCTCTCTTTGCAATTGAAACAAGTTAACATTAAATAACAATTATTGCAGAGATAAAAAACGAAGAAGTTTTGTCCCTGGCCGAAAGACTGACCCTCGTGAACTCTTTGGGTCCTCTCGTCAATCTTAACATAGCACCTAAGGCCATGTTCCAATTGGCTAGCCAATTGAGCCAATTGGTCAGAGAAAATAAAATGGATGGAATTGAATAAGAAGGCAACGGACGTAAACGGCAGACAATATCCACGTATACGACGAAGACACTGGCTATTGTATATGAATGGATGTGGAGGGATACAAACACCGTAGATCGAACTGGAATTCCTTGTTTTCAACCCTGGCAGATCAGTGATGAATTGTCTGTATCTCCATGGTTTGGCATATAAGCAAATGGAGATTTGCTCCGGTCCAACAAAAAGTATCTCGAGGTACAAATATCTCGCGATACCAAATTGTTTCCAATTGTTGGATCTAACAATGCCATTCTGCCCAGCTGGATTTAAGGATCGGAAACGATTTAATACCATGAGGATCGTACCTCGATATATTTTTTGCTGGATCGAAGTAAATCTCCCGCAAATGGGCATAGAAGCTTCGGGGGCAAACATTTGGTATCAATTTTTTCTTTTAAAATCACAAGGGGGTCAATTAGATGGAGGACAGCTAAACCACAGTTGTTGCTAGATGGAAGAATGTGCATTATAAACAACAAGACGAATTGTGTTATAGTTATCATCACTGGTGGAGAAACCGTCTTTGGTCGGTCGCCCGAAATCCACAATAATCTTAGTTCCACTAAAAACCGGGACTAAAAATGATCTTAAGTCCCGGTTGGTGGCTACAGCGGGCATATTTGATCTTTAGTCCCGGTTGGTGTTACCAACCGGGACTAAAAATGATCTTTAGTCCCGGTTCTAAATCTGTCAGGCCTTGTCAGGCCCCCCGAGATCTTTAGTCCTGGTTGGTAACACCAACCGGGACTAAAGATAGGGATCTTTAGTCCTGGTTGGTGTTACCAACCGGGAAAAAAGATCAACATAAGCTTTACTCCAGGTTGGAGTTACCAACCGGGACTAAAGATGTATTTTTAGTCCCACCAACCGGGAGTAAAGATTCCCATGCGCCAACGGCCAGCAGCACCTCGTCCTCTCCGCCCTATCTTATCCCTTCTCCTTCCCACTTCTCCTCCTCCTCTTTCTCACTTCTCCTTCTCCTCCTCCTCCTCCTCTCCTCTCAACCCTCTCCTCCCCCTCATTCTCTCCCCCCTCCCCTCCCCTCCGGCTCCCCTCCGGCGGCGGGAGGCGGCCAGGCGGCGGCGGTGGCCTCCCCTTCGTCGGATCCGGGAGGGGAGGCGGCCGGGTGGCGGTGGCAGAGGGCGGCGGCCGTCGCATGCGGAGGGCCGCCCCAAGCAGCGGCGGCGGAGGCTAGCGCGGCGGCGGCGGCGGAGGCCAGCGCGGAGGGCTGGCCGCAAGGCGGCGGGCGGTGGTGGCCGGGCGCAAGGCGGTGGGTGGCGGCCGGGCGGCGGTGACCCGCGCGGCAGTCAGGCGCAAGGCGGCCGGCGGCCCACGGCCGGGCGGCGGCGACTGCGAATTTTTTTGAATGATTTGTATATTTTGGTGGAGCATTTTGTTGGTTGATTTAGGGATGATTTTGTGATTAATTTGTGGATTGTGATTGATTTGTGGATTGTGGATGTGGATGTATTGGGGATGTATTTTGTTATGCTTGATGTATTTTTTTTTTTGAGATTTTGTGATGTATTTGAGTATTTGAGATGATCGATTGTGGATTTGGAGGCAATTTGAGGATGATTGATTTGGGATTTTGGGGATGGGATGGGGTGAAATCAATATATATTAAAAACAATGAAGAAAAGAAAATAATAAAGAGCAACCGGATCTAGTCTTTTTAGTCCCGGTTGGTAAGATAGATAATCTTTAGTCCCGGTTGGTAACACCAACCGGGACTAAAAATGGATTTTTACTCCCGGTTTTTTTACCCGGGACTAAAGATAACGATCTTTAGTCCCGGATTCGTAGTCCCGGTTGGAAAACCAGGACTACATGGGGGTTACGAACCGGGAGTAAAAACCCCTTATCCACCAGTGCATACTAGCTAGTACATAGATACAATGTAATCACACGATGCAAGTAGAGAGAAAATTAAAAGGTAGCCCGTTCACATTGGCAGATACCTATTTATGTGTGGATGCATTTTTATTGAATTATTTTTTACTCTATTCTAAATATAATTTTCTGAACTAAAATTACTCGAAATCACGCAGTTTTAAATCTATGAGAAAATATAGTGTCGCACTAATAGAGTTGTTTCTACGAAACTATATATCATTTGTGTTGTATTTGTTTATTTTTTAGAATATTTAGGATATCTTATTTTTGGAGTTTCTAACTTTAAGTAACATCTTTTTCTTATATACTGTATACATATGTCTTTCTATATTTTAGGATATATTGGTTGGTGATATTTTCTATTAAAAATATGCTTAATAGCACTACTTCATCTAACGAAAGATAAACTTATATTTACTTATATTTCCTCCATCCCATAAATC